AGAAGAAGAAGAAGAAGAAGAAGAAGACTCGATCGCTGGAACAATACTTTTATTCGTCTGACGTTTCGAAATTCGTCGTGGATTCGTCATCAGAAACATAGAGAGAAATAGTAGACCCTAACTACACTGAGGTTAATTTTGAACCAACTGCAGCCATCTAATCAATGCAAATGGGTTGCTAAGTTATACTAAGCTACTGCACACAGGATTTGGACACCAGAAATTCATGTCTACTACGTTCACCCATCCTTATTTTTTCTTTGTGATGAGCAAGTGTCCTAGTAGGCCTTTGGTAATGGTATAGCTTCTATTGTTAGGGGATTTGGCAAATTTGCTTAAATTAGTTGACCAAATTGTGAAAACATTTGCGGCCTCGGTGGGAATCAAACTCACACAGCAGCATTGGCAGCACAAAAGCCTTCCCTGCTGTGTGGGTTTGACTCCCACGGAGGCCGCGAATTTTCTATAGTTGATTCGACTAAAATAGCTTCTATTGTGCCATCCTCTTGTAGTCAGTACGAGACAACTGTGAGACCTTTACTTGTACCTGGTACTTGTAGGGACTAAGAGCTTTTATAATAAATTTCGGCATGAGTATCCTTGGTAGTGGTCGTGGAAACAACAAGCCGTAGGTTGTTTTCATACGGTAACCGTGAGAAGGGGGTTTTTTGTGTTGGTAAAACTGATTTACCAAAAAAGGTAAGAAAAAAAAGTCGTAAAATTTTGTTGAAATAATTTAATACGGTGGCTATGGGCCGACGGCGTTGGGCGCGTAAATCGAAAAAAGGCGCAAATAAAAATTGATCTCAAATCGAGCACGAATCGCTGTCGACAAACTTGGAAACGTGGAGTTTTATTCCGAAAACTTTCCTTTGCCCAAAACCCAATAATTTTGAAGACTTTTTGTAATATTAAGCAGAAACTTCGGGCTTTTTACATAAGATGTCACTATCCCACACTGAACCTACCACTCACCCTTACCCTAACCCTAACCCTTAACCTAACCCTAAACCTTACCCTAACCCTAACTCTTACCTTAACCCTGACCCTAACCCTAACCCTTATCGTAACCCTTACCCTAATCCTAACCTCTGACCCTAACCATTCGAATCGAGCTCGAATCGCTGTCGACAAACCTGGAAATGTGGAGTTTTGTGCCGCCACTACCAAGGAAACTCCTGCCTAAATTTCTAACTTCCATTTTAACTAGGAAATTCAAAAGGATATTAATCCATAATTGGGTTACTTATAGCTGAACAGTTGCTTCATATCTCACTAAAAGAGCTAGTGAGCAAATGTAGACCGCAAACCCATGGATGAACCCGAAAGTGGCCCTGCCAATCATTGGAAAGAACTTCGCTCAGTAGTTTAAATTCAACGGCAGGTTTATTGCGTGATAACGGATAAGACAAGAGATGGACAACGTGGTATAGCCGTCTAACGTAAACATTACTCACTAATGAACCAATGAACTACAGAACGCCAAGTGAACTAGAATAATCAAAGGAAGTAAATTATACTCAGTAATGAACATTCACCCGACTGCTAGCGGAACTCATCTGTCCCGCTCTGCCTGGGATCTCGAGAGAGGCCCTGACAGCGGTAACAGCTGCTAGGGTAGGCAGATAGTATTACCAGCAAAAACAAGGTAGACTGGAATGGTCATTCCTGGCTCATTAGGCGTCGTCAGCCAGTCATACCCAGACCAAAAGGGCGTCCCACCCGGGCCTCAAACTCGCGACCTCTTTGATTAGAGTCAAACGCCCTAACTATTGAGCCACGAGTAGGTGATGGCTGCATTTCGTGGCACCAGTCATCAGTTCTGTCATTAGGGCGGCGAAAATTCAAATACTGGCAGCACTAGGAGTCGTAATTCGTGATGTAAAGGGCCGATAAGAGCTTTCTACGTTCTGCAGAACAAAGAAGAGGGACCAAAAACGACCAACGCAAAAGCCAATGTACCATGTGATTTCCTCCTCATGGTCAAATAAGAAAGTGCATGTCAATGGCTGCTGGTCAACACACGAGGAATGACACACCGATGTAATAGGTTTCCGGAATTTAAATCTATATCACATCTAAATAGGCTTAAATTCAAAGAGGAGCAGGAAAGATGTCCGCTTCCCTAGAATTGCGTTACACCATCCACAGATATCAACTTGACTTCTATATGATATCAAAAATAAATCCGAGTATCAGCAAATCAGACCAGACATGACAAAAGAGGCATTTTCAGGAACATTTACGTAACAGCGACGCCGGTTGACC